AACTAAGTTCTAATGGAAGTCTTCTATGAGAAAGATGTGATTGGGTTTCACTTCTCTCACTGATACAAGCTTCTCATCGCTACAACACGGGCTAACCATGAAAAACATGTGCAACGTGCATCCTTGCAATTCTAGCAACGCCGACAGGCTTAGTGGACCAAAGCCTCAAAATATTTATGGCTTATTCTGTGGGTTGGATGGAGGTTTTGGGTTGCTCATGGGCACCAAACCTAAACCCAATTTTTGGAGATCAACCATATGCGCGACGGTGATAGAAAGCTAACATTCTATTTTACAAGCAAACATTTACCTAAACTCAAACCAAAATACAATAAAAGCCATCTGAATCTCAACAATTTTTGCGGAATTGGAATATAATTTTCATTCATAAAATTTTTGTATTGGAATTGAAATCCCCTTATTCCGATACATACGTTTGAAAATCAGTCCTGGTAGAGAGTTATTAAATTTTTTTAAATATAAGCGATAATATCTAAACTACACTATATTAATCTAATTTTCTACTAAACGGAATTTAAACTTGAGCGTAAGGAAACGAATTCACTCACGTTTGCTAACCCACGTTTGCAAGTGGGAAGTTGGTCAAAATGAAAAAAAAAAAAACAAAGGCGGGCCAAGAAATTGGACCCAAAAGAGAAAAAGGAGCAAAGAAATTAAGTGCACGTACACAATCCAACTACGCAAGCAAAGAAATAGAACCCACACATATAGTCCCCTATCGGCTGGCACCAAAACCGCGGCTCATCGACCACCAACTCCTCAAAGGCCCCCAAAACAATCAAAACTTACACCAATCTGAAAATCCTCAGAAACCCAGATCACTGAAAATTAGTCTTTCTCTTGTTTGAAATTTGAATTTGAAATACAGTTTGTGATGTCATTGGAGGTGGTGAAGGAAGACGAAGAAGTTTACAGCTGGAGAGAAGTGAAGCTGGCGTCGATCCCAGAGCTTGAGAGGGAGACGGTGGAGAGAAGGCGTGGCCGTGACATAGTCATCGCTGTGGATCATGGGCCCAACAGCAAGCACGCTTTCGATTGGGCCCTTATTCACTTTTGCAGGCTTGCTGATACCATCCATCTTATTCATGCTGTTTCCAGTTAATTCATTCATTCACTTACATGTTTTCGGATCTTGCTCTGTGTTTTCTGTTTTCTTTTTAGTATCCTTATGAATTTTAATCTTAGAATTTTGTGGGTTTTTTTTGGTATCATCTTTGTGACAAATGCTATGACATAGGAGAAGTTCTTTCGGTGGGGCAAGTCCAATGGGACCTCGTGAAGTGGGACTCGCTTTTCGGGTTCACACTCAACCATGAGGTGAGGTCCCCGTAAGACGTGCCCCAGTTTATGGTTTGTTTTTTCAGACGTAGATGCATCTGAGTCTTACAGTGGGGCTCTTGTTTGATTTTCTCATGTAGCATGTAAGCGATTAGCCTAAGCAAATCTCTTCTTATTTTGGTACTTAGGTGTGAACAACGAGATTGTTTACGATGCAAGCCAGCTCCTGATGCAGAAGCTTGCAATTGAGGCATTTGAAGTTGCCATGGTGAGTATAATTAATGTTTGCACTTGAGGCATTAACTTGTGTTTGGAACATTATTAGCCATGTCTAATTTTATATCAGTTGTGGATGATGTAATTTAGGGCATAACCTGCACACGAAATCACATTTGTACAACTTTTGATCATCAAGTAAACTTGCCACCTTGTGCTGTCATTTGCAGCATTGAATTAGTTCCATGGTTATATAATATGTCATTCTGATGCATAAGCTTAATTTACTGCAATTATTTTGGATAACCCCAACATAGTCAATGACCATTTGGTTTAGTAGAATTTAGTCTCCACCTTTGTTTGAGGAATTCTTGAGTTCAAATCTCGTGAATGGGAGTTGTGTGGTAGAATTTATTACACACACAAATTCATGATAACCAACTTCAGATTATTTACTTTCCTTGGATGTTTAAATTTTGAACAATCTCTATGGGAATAGGTGAGGACAATTGCACGAATTGTGGAAGGAGATCCAGGTAAGGTAATTTGCAAGGAAGCAGAGCGTGTAAAGCCTGCAGCTGTTATCCTGGGTACCAGAGGCAGGGGCTTCATTCAAAGGTCTCTCTCTCTCTCTCGGGCTTTCCATTTCCTCCCATTTATTTCAACTATTTCATTCAAAGGTCCCTCTCTCTCTCTCTCTCTCTCAAACACAGATCACTTACTCAAATTTATTCTGGGATTTCTGCAGTGTACTACAGGGAAGTGTCAGCGAGTATTGCATGCACAACTGTAAATCAGCTCCTGTTGTAATCGTTCCAGGGAAAGGTATGACTTCCCATCTTATATATGATTGGAACCTTGAGCTTCATTGGATTTAGAGAATTGAAACATATAATATCTGTTTCTTGAATTGGCAGAAGCTGGAGACGAGTCATTGATCTAGCTAGTGGAACTCATGGTATGTATAGAACAGTTCTGTCCTGATTAATGTTGTGCAATTTCTATTAGTACTTTAGTAGCTTGCGTATGTAGTAATTCGAACTTGGAGGGGTTGTAAGAATCAATTGGCCAAGACTTACCATTAATAGTTTATGTGGATGAAATGTTCAAAATTCATAGTATATGTTAAGCTGCAGGTATTGATTAAGATCTCTGATTATTTGAGTTTTGCCCAAGTTTTGCCTCATTGCTGATTGATTTGTTAATCTCAATTGATGGAACAATGTGAGTAAGGTGGTTATGTGCATGAATTGGTCAGAATGCAAAGCTCCTTTATCAGTCTATAGACTCTATATTCTGAACTTTCAACTCTCAACAAGAGTTCTTAACCAAACAAAAAAAACTTTCAAATTTGGCCTCTTATATTCTTCGTAATTTTGAGTTTGCAATGTGTGTATGTGTTAGAGTATTGAATGATTTATTTAGGTAAGAAATAGGCTTACCCCTGTGTCGATACCTAGAAATATCGATATTGGCCGATATAGCGTAACGGCTGATATTTTCATCCTTGAGCAAGATATTTCTTTCACCAGCTTGTTCAGGGTACACAGTTTCTAATCCTTAGCCACCCGTCAAAACCTAGCCATAAATTGTTAGGGTCATCTGGTAACCATTTTGGATTCTTTTAGCAAGAAAAAGACACAAACTTAGGAGCTCTGGCTACCTCCAAACAAATTTTTAGAGTTGCACCAATTTTTGCAATCTGCAGAAAGAATCTTTGTAGGTTTTAGCTTTTATTCCTTGGAAGGGAAAATTTTCACACAAAGTTGAGGTGGACCCAAGAAAAGGAAGAGGCAAAATCAGTCATCTCTCACCATCAAGTGGAGCAAAGAAAATGAAAGAGATTATTTCTCTGGATGTGGCCAGGTCCACTGACCCACCCCTTCTCGCTATTATTTCTCATTGGTCGATTCTTGAATTTCTTGTCATGCATCATTTTTGGCAATGACCGTTTCAACTTTCATGTTTCTGTGAATTCATTATCGCGTTCAGATTGAATACCAAATAAATTCAATGTCTAAATTATCACCATTCATCATCGTGCGAATATTTTACATTGCCCAACTGAATTGGGTGTATAGACAAATTAGGGCCTTTAGGACATAACTTTAGACCATATATACATGGGCCTCATTTTACAATGTGTTTCTATAATACCATATCAAATCAATAATCGTTTAACCATAATAATTCACCGTGTTTATCGGTAAAACTATGTTCATAATTTATTTTGGTCACAATTGGATATATACATGATTCTCGATTTAGATGAGAATATAATAAATAAACGATTTGGATCATGAAACCAGATCACCGAATAAACCCTATATGTTAAGTTCTTGATACGTGTAGCTAGTTTAGACCTGTTATTGCAATGTTGCACATGGTAGCTAGGTTTTCCTTCTCATGTTCTGATAACCATCTATTGAGGGAAGATGAACCAAGTAGGGTAGCTGGTGTAATTGAGGAAGATGTTTTATCATCTCTTTGAGTTGGATCCAACCTCATATTTCAAAGAAATTCCATGCCCAAACTTGGCCTTATGAATCAGCCACATGAGAAGGGATAATGCAACACAATGTTTTTCCAAATACATTCGATTCTCTACACAGACACACACACACACAAAATTGTGTCAAGTTGCTTTCCCTCACTTTAAACAAATTATAATTCTTGAAAACCCATCAACACGTTTTTCTTTTAAGTGAAATATGAAGTAACATCTCACCCTTAGATTTTTGACAATGATAATTCAAAATAATTGATGTAAGGGCTCTGTGGAAGCTACCTTATTATTTACACTAGGCACGTGAAAACAACTCTAACCAATTGAATATAGTAGGAATGGATAAGCAATTTTGTCCTGTTTCTTTGCCAAATTGATTTCCTTGGTCTTCTTTAAATTTTGGTCACATCCTATTCATCATCACTCTTTCTCTGCATAATTATCAGGGTCTCTATCAACAAATATTATTATTCTTCTTCTTCTCCAAAGGGAGCTGGGTTGGTCCACAGGTAGGCTCATAGCCACTGTCCCTCATGTAGTGCTTGCTTGAACTTGTCTCTGAACCTTCATCCATCAGAGGGTCAACTTGCATTCTCCCATCAATTACAAGTATGATACGGCAATTTCTGCATTCCCATGACAGCTAGATTTGTCTTTCACTTCAAATTGGGATGGGGACATTTTATCTTGTAAAAGGATCTTGAATTGTGGCAGATGACGGTTACACAACCTCGTCAATAGTCCTTGGTAGCATAGACGACGGTATTTTGTCAATCTCGACAATGATAAAAATCCGTCGTCTATGACCTTTTTTGTAGTAGTGTGGAAATTGCAGGGAACCCTAATTACCCCTTATTGGCTTAAAGTTTGTTTCAACCATAATGCTTGGTTCCATTTTCCATTTTCCATCAACCTTATTTTAGGGCTTCCAATTTGGTTCCCTATTAACAGGTTGGTGCTATAGTGATGATGGCATGATTTGTAGACAATGGAAGGTCTTTGTATTTTATTCATACTATGTTGCAGGTATACATACAAACATATATATATATATATGTTATGTACTTAGATAAGAAAAAATAATCTGGATCAGAGGCATCAAGTAAACTCTTTCAGTAATCAAATGAATGATGTTTGATTCACATCTCCATCTTTAAATTGCTAGCTTCAATAGACCCTGCAAAAAAAAATTGATAGGAGGAATCTTAGAGTCAACTTTAGCAGTAACTTTTTTTTTTCTTTCCTTTTTTACCTTCTCCAAATACAACAGAAAATATAATTGAACAATCAAAAGCATCATCATTATTGGATTGAGTGAATTGCAGCCTAAACTTTCTAAAATGGGGACCACTTCATCTTGAGTAAGACTTCACATAATGGATATACACCATTACCATTACTGACAGAAGATAGCTATTATATGGTTTACAGACTCAAAATTGCACCACACCTTTAACTGCTCCCCCTTTCTATCCAAAATGCTGAGGCAAGATCATAATCATATAAAGAAAACAAGGAAATCTCTACTTTTAATTTATTTAGGTGGAAAAAGGAGATAACCATTCATTTAGAAAACTTTAATTTAGTCCAATTAGAAAGGACATACTAAATTCCTGAGCAAAATCATTAGACATTTTGTGGGGTCTGTGTGGTCTCTATCAGATTCAGAGGTAGCCTAAACCTAATGATTCTTTATCATACAAACATGGAGTCATGGGCAATGGTATGGGAATGTAGGAAGAAAGATTAGTTCTATCTACCTGTAAATGGTTGCGATTGAAAGGGTGTTGTTCTTCCTTGTTGGAATTCCACATTGAAAAGGTTTTGTAAATCAGCATCCCAAATTGCAGTAGGAGGGGCTTGCTGCAGGGGGCATATAAGATCTACCGTCAAAACATTGCTAAATTTATAGTGTCTAAAATAGATGTATACATGAGTGTGGAGACATTACAGTGAAGCAGGATGTGTCGAGAAATGTTTCAGGGATCGATACAGGAGCACTGATGGTTCTTCGAAGCGCCAAATCAGAGGAATTTATCCCCATATCCAAGCCACAAGATGAAACCATTTGCTGTACTGGATTAAACTGCACATATGCAGAATTGGTCATTTCTGATGACATCCCAATAGTCTGAAAATTGGCCGCGCACGCAGGAAACATCTGTTGATTTTGAGGCAAAATGAAGAGTTATAAGTAACAGAAGTTTTGAACAAACAAAGTCTTTCTTTAATTCTCAAGCAAAGGAACATAAATTTTGCTAGAAACACTTTTGTGATAAGCCATTCAAGCAATCTTGTTCCCTTTGCCAATACTTTTTGACAACTAAATCAATAACAAACTCAAAGTCTTTGAAAACTTATTGATCTTATGGTAGTTAAAGTTTCCTGACCTCTTTCGCAAACAAATCGTCAATGTTGAAGTCAAGCCGCGGATTAACAGCAGCTAGTTTCATAGACAGGAACTGTTAATTATGAAGAGGATCCGTTTAATAATACAGAACAGCAAAGAGATTTCAAAGTATTTGAACCCAATCATGGGAAAAGATCAAATGTTATGTCACCTCTACTTGTCGTTGAAGAGATTGAACATAATTGATGATTTCGTCGAGCATCCCAGCCTTGCCAGTGATCTTGTTGCACCCTGGTACTAAATCTTGCAGATACTTCATTCTTTCACTGATTTTTTCCCTCCTCACCTGAATGATCACAATCAAACATTGGCATAAACAATTGAACAAGATGATCTGCAAAAGAAGAGACAAAGATTTATAAAAATCTGAAACCCCACTAGTCCTACTCACCCTCTCAGCCAAGCTGTGGCTATCAGTGGCCTGACCTCGCCGTGCCCGGACATGAATGTAATCAGGCTTTTGAACCTCAGAAGCTTTTGAATTGTCTTTTGAAGTATCACCAGAAGATTCTCTGTCGTTGTTTGTGTTCTTGGTGCTGGTTTGCTCTGTGATCTTGGAGTCTCCCTCCTCTGCACACCCTTTCATTCTTTTCTCCGTGCTATCATCTTCTGCAGCTACAGCCTAGAAATCCCAAAAACAGAATATATGCATCAGCCAATTTCTCAAAACTGCCAAAAAGTTAAACCCCAAAAACTTTTCAATTTAAACAAAAACAGAGAAACAGAGTAGTCAAGAAACAAATTAAAGCAGACAAACAGAGAAGTCAATACACAAATTTTTTATATTCTTCATGCTGAATAGAAAAGTAAATCATAACACCAAAAATGAAACATAGTCAAAACTACAGAGAACAATATAATTTTTCCTTTTTTCAAAAAATAAACAGCAAAATTCAGAAAAATGAGCATAGAGGCACACCTTATTGCTCTGCACCTTATCAGCCTTCCTCTTCTTAAAGCTTTCCTTCCCCGCAGGCGAGCTAATCTTCTGAGACAAAACGGCGTCGTTGGACTTCTTCTCAGCGGCCACAGTAGGTGGGCAGCTAAAAGTCCTGGAAATATTACTATTATTATTGTGACCATTAATCATCTCCTCAAACCCTGCTGCGCCATTATTGTTCACGACCAACTCACAAGACCCATAACCCAATTCAGCCCATCTGTTTTCCGAACACGGGTCGGGTTTCACCGCCGAGTCACCGCACACCAAACCCATGAAGCCCTGAGCCTGACCCGCCGGAATCGGAACAGAGAATACTCCGCTAAGCTCGTTCCCGCTAAAATTGTACCCTTGCTGCTGCTGATGCAGCTGAATTGGATCATTGTGCTCGTGCTGGTGCCACTTCATCCGAGCCCTCTGCCGCTCGAGCACAGTCATGTCCGTACTGTTCCCGGCGAGGAAGGTGCCCGGGGCGTTCATACAGTTCAGCATCTCCGGCAACGCTCTGTTCATCACACAGACAAAAACAAACAAGCAGATTTTGGCCACCCACCGTCGAAAAATTGGAAATTATAGAGAGACGAACACAGAAATTGGAAGGGGAAATGAATTTTGCCGGGTGTGAAGAATAGTGGGTAGTGATTAGTTTTCGAAAATGTGGTGAGATTGGTTAGGGATTAGGGCTCATGCCCAACACGTTGAGGAGTTTTTGTAAGCAAAGTACGTACTGCGATTTGATCATAAAGTACTTTGAATTATGCAATTTAGGTAAAAGGGTATAATGGGAGCTGGTAGATGATGCGTTGGAGTGTGTGTATGAGACTCAGAGAGAGAGAGAGAGGGTCCTAAAAATGAAGGGCAGGGGGTTAGGTATATATAAAGAGAAAGAAAGGGTTTGGCCGGAATCTGACAAAGAAATAAGAAATAGCCGGAATTATTAGAGAGAGAAAGAGAGGCTTAAGAAGATGATGAGAGAGAGAGAGAGAGAGAGAGAGAGAGAGAGAGAGAGAGAGGCGGAGAGGGATGAAGCAAATGGGGCAGAGAGCCATCGAATGTATCCACATGAGCAGAGGCCGTGGGTTGTGGGCCATGTTTGACATGACCGCCACGTGGTCATGTCCTGACCAAAACGGAGAATGGTGGCTCAGACGGAACGGGGTTTTGCTGCTTTTGCTAATTCTGCATGATGACGACGACTGCATGCAAATTGTTATATTTATTTATTTTTTATTATATAAAAATAAGAGTTTAAACTACAAACAGGATGAAATTTCTTACTTACACATACTATTAATATGTTATGAGTCTTTTGATCAAAAACAATTTCGAAGCTAAAATTACTGATTTGCAAATCAAAAGTCATTTATCCACTAGTCGGCATGCAAATTGTAATTATAATCTCACTATTAATAAAGTTGCCCACTATTTGTTTGTGAGCGTCACGGCAAAATGAATGACTTGAAATACGATTATGACATTGTTATATTTTGAGAATATTAGTTTTAATCATGTATTAATAATAATGTTCCGCTTAAGATATGATATGATGTCAATCAACTTTCTTTTTTCGTAGTTAACACCAAATTAAGATTGAGACGTTAAATTATTCTCTTTGCATGCAAAATCAATTACGATTGAGTGTATAAAAGTACTTGTCCTCAAGATTATAAAACATATCAAATCAATTACGAAATGTACAGCATGATATATTTACTATTAAGATGAATGTTACTTTTTATTTTTATCTTTATTACATCCAATGAGATAATTACAGGTGTACGTAAGTTTTTTTTTTTTTTTTGGTCTGAATACAGGTGTACGTAAGTTAAGTGCAGGCCATATCGTTTGAACGCTCCAACCAAGGAGGCCATTCATGCCGGACAAACCAGAAAGAAAACATGTCACGCATTGGGCCTGCAAACTATGTAAAACTCAAATACAAAGAGGGAAAAAATAGGCCCATCATGGTAATTCTCTGCAAACAATGTAAATGGTATTACCTACTTGAGGTACTTTATAAGAAGTCACATAACTTGAATTTTTTTTATATTAATGATATATTTATTAATTCGTAATTAGATTAGGAGGAATTGAATTGAGGAGGAGTTGGATTAAAGAGACTTAGATTTTGGATTCCTATTGAAGTTGTTTACTAAACCATATGGATTGAGGATAGTTAGATTCCGAATTCATATTGAAGTTGTTTACTAAATCATATGGAATTGGGGTAAGAATGGTACTAATTATTAAAATTTCCTCGTTGTTTGGTTAAATTAGATGGTAAATTTGGAATTTTTAAAATTGTGTGAAGATATAATAGGTAAAAAAGATGAATTCCTAATGGGTTAGTTCTCCAGGAATTAGAATACCACCTCCCACCCAAGAATTAAATTCCTCCAAAATCAAAAATTCAATTCCTAATTTTTTGTGGGCCTCACTTACTTTTTAATTCCTTGATGTGAAGTAAACACAAGAATCCTCCATAGGTGGGATTCAATTCTTGCTGAGAATTTCAATCCTGATGAATAAACACACTATAAGTCCAATTTAGGCATCAAAGACTATTTGGAAAACACCACACCAGTGTTTATTTCATTTGATTTCAGGTAATAAAGGACATTTTACTTGGCTTGTGGAAATCATCTCTCATATAAGGGATTCGAACTTTGACTGTTCCGATTTTTGGAAGAAAAATACGACTAAACTTAGTGCATGCATATTAACTCAAAATTTACAATAATTCGAATCTATAGATGTTCAAAATTTACAATAATTCAAAATTTACGATGTCTATCATCATCACTTGCCACAATTGAAGATGCATGCTCCTTAATATTTTCATATTCTCATATCGCATTGTTAATTTTTCTTTTATTCAACAAGAGACTATCGTATATGAAATTTGAACTCAAAATGAAAAAAAGAAAAGAAAAGGCTGCTTGCGAGTTGTGAAGTAGATGACGTCTTACATTTCCCATTTGTAATCAAACAAGTAAATAACAGAGATGAGGTCACAGCCAATAAGTTTGCAATTCGATCGTCTATTTTAAGGAAGTTCACAGTATATCCTTCATGCTTATCCCTGCATTGCACGTATAACAAAATCGGTTAGACCAAATTTAGCATGGAGAAAATTGGTGGATTTCTGCGCACTTATATAAAAGGGATATTGAGAGATGGGGAATCAAATCTAGAACATCGAATGTAAGGGTAAATATTCTTAACTGCCTTATCTACAAGCTTCTTGATATGCATGTAAAAAACTCAGTATGTTTTACTTTAGTTTTTGGATGAACTTGCATAATTCGAAATATACTCTCTCTTTTTAATATCAAAAAGAGAAATATGAAGAAGTTGAGGTTTCACTTCAAAAGTAATTGGCAATGGGGTAATTTCACCTTCACATTCTTACAAATACCTCATGTACATGAATAATTGTTCTGAATCAATTAAGCTACAAGCCCCTTACTATATATATATGTATATATATATATATATATTATGAGAGAAGAAAAAGGTTATGTTTAGAGGTTTATATTTTTAAAGTAAATAAATTATATGAAGAATTCTTTGAGAATATATCTAATATAAAAGACCAATCAATCAATTTCACTCATGAATTGATTTTCGACAAATCATTGGTCCCAACTCAGAAATTTTGACTAAGAAGGTTTGTTGGTAATGGAAGTTAGCATCTCCCGTTTGTCGTCATAGGCATTGACTCCACCTCATCAAATTTATACCTTAAACTTATTCAAGGCATCATATGTAATTAAGATCACACTTAAAAAGTGCTTAAGTGTGAAGAAAAACAATTATATATATATATATATATATATATACAGAAATTCTCATATGGGGACTTTTAGACGTTATTATTGTGCGGACGTCATGTATTTTATACTATCCCTCCTTGCTTTCCTGCCTGTTTACAATAGCATTCACACGATAATAAAGTGTGGACATCCAGATAAGAGGATATATATATATATATATATTTCCATGCAAACCAGATACATATATAAAGGATTTTTGGATTTTTCCTTTTGATAAATGATAATATCTACAAACTTTTATAACAAACCAATACACTCAAAACAAATCTACACCGCCATAATGAGGCATTGAGGTTAACAACAAGTACGTATCGAACTCATCACAAATATATGTCATTCTTAATTACCATCCATGTAAGTCGAACTTGAGACCTTTCTCTAACCACATTGTGACAAATATCACTAAATCAAAGACCTAATTGGTGAAGATATATAATGGCATTAAGAACCATCTAGATTCTTAACAAGTTTATGTTATCGTAATATAACCTTAATTAATGATGCAACAGCTTGGATTGAGACTTTTGGGTTCAAATTATTCAAATCATTCTTTACTTGCAAATTCATGCAGCCATTTGAAGCTTGAAGCAACAGATCGTCCAGAGCGGATGAAGGCTACTTCCGTTATCAATTCGTGGGCCCAAAATCATCTCTCTGCACCGCCGCCCCACACCCCCAAATCTCTCTCTCTCTCTCTCTCTGTAGTTGCATATAATAATGTTATAAATAAGACTAGGATATAGCTGAAGACAAATGGGACCTGGGCTTTCTCCATCTCATTTCCTCTATCACTTTCTCTGTGGTTTTTAATGAACAGAAAACTACTTTGGCCCCATACTTTTTTATGTCTTCCCATTTTTTTTTCTCTCTCTCTCTCTCTCTCAAGTGCTTTCAATCTTTACACTTGGTTTGACTAAACCCACACCCAAAAACAGTATATTTATAATCTTTAGGACCCCCCTCCCTTAAATATGTTAGATTTTTTTTAGATATTGTTTGGGTTCAAGTTCTACAAAACAAAGTTTGGGATCAATGGAGAGAAGTCACCATGGTTGGGCCCCGGGGCACGTGCCAAGGTGGCCCCTCATTTTCTTACACTAAATTTATAATTTAATTGCTCGAAATAATTTTCATTTTCTTCCCTTCCCTTTCAAAAAAAAAAAATTTCCATTAGTTTTAAAAGTTAAATATTTCAACAACTTATCCAATATCTTTTCTTTTCTTTTTTTGGCTTTTATGTTCTTTTTAGTTGATACATAACTAATTCATAAGTTACATATAGTTTAAACGTATTCCTGTAGTAAGTGTTGAAAATATCATATACGACATTTCGAAATTCAAAAACTCATACGTAGAGGAGTGATTAAACACTAATCAATCAATACGTTAATACAACGTCATCTCTCATTTGGATCACTCCACAACGTCATCTCATTATTAGGGATATGCCAGCCTTAACCTCCATCTTATTACTAAAGATAATGGCTTTTAACAAATCTTTACGGTAATGGTGCATGCACTGCTACTATTTAAGGTCACCTTTGCCGAAGGCAAATGGGGCCTATTGGTGTTAGTGAACAGAAAACTACCCTAGCCCCTTCGTTTTTTTGTTGTTGGTGTCTTTTCTCTTTGTGCTTGCTCAAGTGGTTTCCATCTTTACATTTGGATTGACCAAAGCCCCAAGGGACTTAAGTACACTGAATAATATAATCTTCAAAGGCATCTTTAGATAAGACCAGCTGAGAGGGGAACCCCGGCCCTAAGATAGCAACAGGCAAGTGGGTTGTTCTTTATTTTATTTATTTATTTGTTCCAATTCTTTTTTATCGAATTAAATTTATTTTTTTTCTTTTGAATAAATATGTTTTCAAGCACCAAAAGTATTGATTATATATTCTTGTGTTGATGCGTTAGCTGGCTATATGATGCTTTGAAACAAAAAAGATCCCCCAAGATTTGGTGGTTGAAATGCTGGAAATGGGAAATAAACCCTACTGTGTTCACTGTAGAGTGAGACAAAGTAAGTAACCATATTGCTGCTGCTGCTCATACACAGTCATCATTTACGTGTGGTCCAATCAAATTCTATGGTGAGCA